TCAGGGCTGGGGCAGGGGTGGGCTCCCTTAAGTGCCTTAGCCTGCTGGCTTTGCAAGGGTTGCTCAGCGGGCCAGCAGTGGCGGTAGCCCCTCCCATCCCCCAGCGGGCTTAGTTTAAAGCTCGGTGGAGCAGGTCAGCCAGTCTGGCTGAGAAGAGCCTCCTCCCCAGCAGAGAGAAGTGGAGACCAACCCTTCCCAGCAGCTCGCTGCGTCTCTCACCAAAGAGCGGGCTGTGGTCATGGAAGCCAAAGCCTTCCTGATGACACCAGCGCCACAGTCTTTGGTTAACTACCTGAATCCTCCTCTCTCTCTTCAGCCCATACCCCGAGACTGGGAGGATCAAAGAGAACACCACCTGTGCCCCCAGACCCTTTAACTCTGCTTCCAAATCCCTGTAGTGCCTCATGACCTGGCTGGGAGCGCTTCGAACCGTGTCACTGGTGCCCACATGAATAAGGAGCTAATGGGCTGGAGGAGTTTAGGGATTTTCTCCGCAATGTCTCGGATATGGGCTCCCGGGAACTAGCAGACTTCCCGGATCAAGGGTTTGAGGTGGCAGATTACCCCCTCAGTCCCCCTCAGGATGGAGTCTCCCACAACAAACACTTTGCGTTTTGTTTTAGGGAGAACAGGGTTGGTAGCTGCAGTTGAACCTGTGTTGCCTCCGGGAGCTGGCAACTTGGCAGGCTTTGCTGGGGCTGCAAGAGGTTCGTGGTCCATCCCCTTGGCTGGACAGGATGGGAAGACCCGGTGTCCTCCCTTGTCCTGGAAGGTGACTGTGGTCAACCCTCCACCTCCTGGGGGAGAAGAGCCTGGCAGTAGGAGCTGATCTTCTGCTCACAGTCCCTGATGGCACGCAGTCTCTGGACTGTGACCTGGAGCTCCTCCAGCTGGCATGCCAGAGGCCCCAAAGGAGAGCAGACCTCACAAGGGGAGGTGGCCATGCTTCCGGTCCCCAGGGCCTGAAAAAGTGACAGGTAGCCCCCGCAGCTGAGAGGCAGGGGCTCTGTCTGTGTGGAGCCCGGAACCAGGGGCTCCGTCTGGGTGGAGGCCTCTGAAGCGCCAGAGTCGGGGGGCCACAGACCCTGAGGGGTGCCTCGGGTTGCGGCACGTGCCCATCCGCAGCATGCTGCTGAGAGGCCAGCCGCAGCTGGGACTGCCTACCCTAGGGCGGGGGCTCACAGGCAGGGCCTTAGGCCCTCCCACTCACCCTCCTGTGCAAACTCTGCGCTAACTCATGCGCCAGGTAGACAAGCGCGCCTGTTTGCAGCTGAGCTGGGCTAGTCTGCTCCCACCATGGCCCCGCTTACCTCCGGCTACTGCTGGGGGTTGGCGGGGGGGCTCTGCGGCAGTTGGGGGTCTCTGGGGGGCTTTGGGGTGCGGGGGCACGACAGGCTTTCATCCGTGCATCTCGCACCGCTCCCTAAGCCTCTCTGGGGCTTTGTTCCTTTGGCAGGCCCTTTTAAACTACGCACATGCACAGTGGGCCTGCCTCTGGCACTTGTCTACTCCTGGGCAAGGCAGGGGGCCCTGCCCAGGATTTGGAGGACCCTGCCTGCCTGGAGAGGGATCGGTGAGTACCCCCTCCCCCTCCTCTACTGTCCCCCTGGGGGCCTGAGCCGAGTAGGCGCCGGGGCAGGGCAAGACCCTCCCCGGTTCCTAATCAGCCGCCTCCCTGCAGCTGAGCTGGGCTAGTCCCCTCTCACCACGGCCTCGCTTACCTCCAGCTGCTGCTGGGGGTCAGCGGGGGGGCTCTGCGGTAGTTGGGGGTCGCTGGGGGGCTTCGGGGTATGGGAGCGCGAGGGGCTTTCACCCATGCGTCTCGCGCCACTCCCTAAGCCTCTCAGGGAGAGGAGAATTGAATGTAGGTCTCTTACAGTCTGTGTGACACTGTTAATCAAGGTATTGTAGAAACAGAGTTTGCTACCACCACCTCTCTTACTAACCATTCTCCTGAAAGACAGCACAGGTGTCTACCTTCAGTTTACCATTCAGGCTTGTGATGCCATGTAGAAGGAGGTGCCTCCTTGCAGCCCTCCATAAAGCAGAGGGGCCTGAATTTAGGGCTAGCGTCTCTTTAGTGTTTCTCTATTGACTTGCTGTAGGCAGGGCCCCACTTCGGGGGCTAATTTTAATCCCATTAAACGATGTCTTATGCTTGTGATTATGTAGAGGCCTGCACCTGGATTGTGCTCCTGGGGTCAAGTTAGGCATTGCAGTGCTCAGTATTGCAGCATTTAAAATATTTTTTAAAAATCTATTTCTCGATACTCAGGGAAAATAGGGTAATGTCTGTGCAGGGTTGACCCCAGGTACAACGTGACAGGTGGCTGGAGGCATAAGCCAGGGTGCCTCACTATTTGTGCCTGGCTTGAATCAGTTTTCCCGTGGACAGGTCTCAGATACAAGATATACCACTTCACAGGTCTGATTCAGTCCCTGGACCCTACAGGAACTGTTGAATACCTTTGTCGGTTTTAAATAAGCCATTGGAGGTACAGAAATGTCTATCTGTGACCAGAGGAGTGATTTTTTTCATCTCACAAAAGTCATGATCTGGAGAGAACTTGTACCATCCAACCTAGATTTTTCACCCTGAATAGTCTGGCTACTACCATTGTCAGATTTAGACAGGTCACTTTCAGCCTTAGCCTCTCACTTGCGTGTTGTTTTCCTTTGTTTTTCTCCCTCTGCCATTTTCTAGAAATCTTTCATTTCTTTTCTTTTTTTTTAACAAAATACTACATTACCCAGTACTGGTAAAGGTTTTTAAACAGACCCTTTTGTTTATGTAGGTAAGGTACAAATGGCTTGGATTTATAAAAGAATGTTTTACTTTGTACACTTATTTTTTTGTAGAATAACTTCATACTCCTTGTTCTTGTAAAACCTGGTTCAAAGTAAACCCAATAGCAAAATAGTTTTAGCAAACACAGATAAAACTACTTGTAGCTTTTATATACTGCATTTACTTAAATAGAATATTACCCTTATTATAAGACAGCCTTCTGATAATTGGATTCTATATATGGAAAAATTATAAATTTCTTATAATTTTCCAAGTATAGAATATAATTATTGGAGGTTTGCCTTGAACGTGTTCCTTTCCCACTGCTACAGCAGGGAAAATAAATCTGGGGGGAGATCAGGTAGCCCTTTGTTCTCTGCGTCCCCTCAACTTTTTCCCCTGGGAGCTCCTTCACCCTCTCCTTACTGTCAGGCTCTGCTCTTCCTGAGCACATAGAAGTAAGGTGCAAATCTGAAAACAATAATCTTAAAATTAAACATGACTGTAGCAATTTGCATATAGTACCCATACACTTAGTTTATCCAGAATTGATGAATGTTACCTTTTTTTGAAACTGCTGCAAGTTTTAGCACAGGTACTCTACAGACACTTTTGAGCAGCACTTGGGCACCTACTTGTATGTAGTACAAGCTATACATGCCAAAAGTTCATGATTTACCACATGCTTCATTGGGCTTGGCCCCACTAGAGTTAACAGTATTTCAAGCCACGGTGTCCCACAGCTCAGTGTTGCTCAGTATGTGTGCATACTCCAGATACCCCTCCCTGCAAGGATCCATGTGATAAGTAGCCCTCCACTCATGACTGGACCTATGTGTTCTTGTCACGAGGCTTGGGATGCTTCAAAAATGTATGTGCAGATGCAACACAGGGCAACCTGGTCTGGCTTCACCTCATGGAGGGCAGGGCCACACTAATCATATGTGCCAAGCTGAGAGAGGGGTTGACAGAGGGATTCTGGGTGAACTGCATGCAGTGTCATGGCTCACCATTGACTTGGAAAAAAGCATACTTGCCACTGACTCTAATGGGCAGTACCATATGTCTTATTCAGGTGGGCTGCCCTTACTTATCCTTGTGATAGGTTCCCATCAGTAGACTCCTCCCTAGCTTGCTCCTGCAGCCTTATGGATGAGGGCAATTAAAACTCGGGGGCATCCGAACCCCAAGCCTCTGGGCTTGGGCCTGCACGTAGGATGCCTGCCAAAAGATTTGGAAACATCTGAAGTCTCACATGGGGTGGAGGATGTTTGCCAGTAGCAGGGCCACTTATGTATCTTGACTGACTCATGGATTTGGAATTGATTTGGCTTGGCACATGAACAATTACCTTTAAAAAAAAAAAAAAAAAAAAAAAGCATGTTCCCATCCATATGTTTGCCCAATGTGGGCCATGTATTTTATAGTCATGCTCAGTGTTGACTGCATTTAATCAATTTCATAGTAGATTTCCATTGCTGAGCATATGCTGCTTTTGGCAGCAGTTTAATGATAGACAGCTTATTTAGTGAGATTTCCTTGTATGCAGTTATAAGACAAGGGTTTTTTTTCTTATGCCAATGGGGGATGGAGGGGGGAACCTCATCTTAAATATACACACCATCTTTACTTGAATACAAGACATGCGAGGCACAGGATGTGACAGTACCAATCTATTCAGTGTTTGTTAGGTCTGAGCTGGGGTTCTTTGTCCAGTATTGGGCACCACAGTTTTAAAAGGTTGTCGAGAAACCGGAGAGAATCTATAAGTGAAGATAAGTGGGTTGAAATGCAAACTAAACAAGGCCAGGTTGAAGGAATTGGTATGTTTTGTTGGGAAAAAAAAATAGTTAAGAGGTGGATCATGATAGCAGTTACCAAATATTTGAAAGGTTGCCATAAAGAAGTTAAAGACAATTTTTCCCTTGTTGCAGGGCCAAGAGAGATTGAGTTTAAAGTAAAGCAAAACAGATATAAATTAAATCTAAGAAAAAAAATTCTAAATGTAAGAAGAGTAGGACAGTTGAATAAGCTGCTTAGGGAATCTTCCTCATCTGAGGTTTTCAAGATGAGGCTGAATAGGCAGCTGTCTGGGATGATTTGTCTGCATCTGTGCAGTGGTTTGGATTAGGTGACTTCTGATGTCCCTTCCAGCCCTTTCATCTTATGATTCTATGAAAAGAGTGGATCTTTTTTTTTTCTTTTTTTAAAGATGGATGAAGAAGCCTCGATGTGGGGTTCCTGATCATCCCCATTTAAGCCATAACCGAAGGAAAAAGCGATATGCGCTAACTGGACAGAAATGGAGGCAGAAGCATATAACTTACAGGTATGTTTTATTTTTTAAAGAGTAATATTTTGACATGTACTATTTACTCAGCTACAAAAAGGGAAATGTATATACTTCATACATACTTATGACCCTCTGCATTTGAGAAGATGTGAAGGATGAATTTTTTTGTAAGCTGCTAAGCAACTTTGGAGTCCAAATTTCATTTTCAAGTAAAATAAAATTGGGCCAGATTTAGGCCAGATTTTTAAATGCCTTCAGGTCGTATCATTAATGTGCATAACCTAACTTATATAAAAAAAGATAAGAACATAAGACATTCCACATTGGTTGGATCAATGGTCTGCCTAGCCTCTGAAAGTGGTGAGTGCTAGATATTTCAGAGAGAGAGTATATGAATGAGGCATGCCTTCCCTGACATCAAGCATCATTGTTTTAGGGATGTCAGAGGATACATGCCAAATTGCTCTGTTTAATAGCTCCTAAGGAACCTATTCTCCATGTATTTATCTAATCCCTCTTTGAACCTGGTTACATTATCTACCTGTATGACATTCTGCAGTAGTGGGTTCCACAAGTTAGCTACATCCTGTGTAAAAAAGTACTCTCTTCTTTGTTTTAAACCTGCTTCCACACAATTTCACTGGGTGCCCTCTACTTCTTGTATTCTGGGACTTGGTTAATAACAGTTTTCTATTCACCTGGTCCCCTTTCATCATTTTATAGATCTCTGTCACTCCCCCCCCTCTTTCTCTTTTCCAAACTGAAGAGTCCTTATTCTTTTTAGTCTTCACTGTACCATTTCCAGTTCCAGCTCATCCTTTTAAAGGTGTAGAGACCAGAATTCATGTAGTAGTCAAGTATTACTACTTACTAGTAGTCAAGCTGCTCTGAGGCTTTTGGATAGTGTGGGATATAAATCTAATAAATAAAATGTGGGCTCATCATGGATTGATAAAGTGGCATAATAATGCCTGCTATTTTGTTTTCAATTCCCTTCTTAATGATACCCAACATTTTGTTGGCTTTTAGTTGCTGATGCACATTGAGCCAGTGTTTTTGGAGAACTGTGTACAAGAACTCCAAAGTATCTTTCCCGAATGGTGACAGCCAGTTCAGAATCCATCACTATAAATACAGGCAGTCCTCGACTTACAACGTTTTGAGTTACAACGGTTTGAACTTAAAACGTATATAAATTGACACCCTGTTTTAATTTTCTGATGTCAGTTTCAACTTTACAACGCTTGATCTGATGTGATGCCACGCCAGCGAACAAGTTCGCTGGGTCACCCATCTCCCTGGAGAACATCTGTCCAAACTTCTTCGGACACTTTCTTTAAGAAAGCAGACAAGACTCCAGAAAAACCTGCAGCCAAGACTCCTGAGGAGACTCTAGCCAAGAACCGTTCAAAAAGTCCAACCAAGAGCCCTTAAAAAGTCCAGCAAAGTCACCTCAAAGAAGTTTTTCCAAATCAATACGATTGCTATTTACAGTATAAATACATTAATGTAGCTTAATTGATTGAGTACAAAATTCTGGGGTATTTTTGGTGAAAATAGGGTATCGGGCCTTGGTTCAGGAACCAATTCCCCATTTATAACATTGTTTTTTATGAGAAAATTGGTTCTGAGTTACAACGTTTCGACTTAAGACGCTGTTTTCAGGAACCAATTGTGTCATAAGTCCAAGGACTGCCTGTATATAGTTGAAGTTATTTTTCTCCATATGCGTTCCTTTGCACTTGAAATTCATTTACCAATTTATTGCCCACTCACTAGTTTTCTGAGATCTTTCTTCAACTCTTCAGCATCATTTTAATATTAGAACACCCATAGCAATTTAGTATAATCTGGGAACATTGCAAGTTCACCATGTTTTCCATTTTCCAAGTCATTTTGGAAATGTTGAACAAAAGCAGCTCCAGCACAGATTCTTGAATTCAACAATTGATCTTCCATTCTGAAAAATGACCATTTAGCCCAACTTTTTTCCCATCTTTTAATCTGTTTTTGATTCCTGAAAGGGTCTTCCCTCCAATCCCATAACAACTCCATTTTTTTAAAAGTCTTTGGTGAGGGACCTACCTCACCAAAAGCTTCTTGAAAATCCAGGTATATTATATCAACTGGATGTCCCTTGTGCATATGCTTGTAAATGCCCTCAGAAAAACTCCAGCAGATCCCTGAGACAGTATTGCCTTTTACAAAAAAACACACTGACTCTTCCACAACATATTGTATACATCCAAGTGACCAGAATAGAAGTGAAGCTCACCTGTCTATAGCAACTTTAGTAGAACAGATGTTCAGTGCACTAGACCAGCTTGAAAATGGCTAAAACCGGTTTGAGATGAACCAGGAAGGGGTCTGGGACAGACATTGCATAAACAGGTTTGACCCAAATTAGTTAAGTCTGCTACTACATTCAACCGGGTTTAAGTTGAATCAGACTCCCCCAGCACCCCAGATGCTTTGCAACTCTGGGCAGGGCTGTGTTCTCAGCTCCAGGCCAGCAGGGCAGGCCCCTCCCCTCTGCTCCCTGACTGGACCTCGGCAGAGACTGCAGGTACAGCAGCATCTGCCTGGCTTCCTTCTGCTTCCCTGTCCCCACCATTCCTCATCACTTCCTGTTCAAGCAGGAATCCCCCCTTCCCTCTGTCTTGCACAGACTCCTCTCAGTGTTAGCTAGCATACCACATACTGACTACTGTCCATGCTATGGAAGACGGGACAAAGGCAGACAGCACAGTATCAGCTTAGGGCTTTTTGGAGCTAATCAACAGGTAGCTGGTAATGTCCCTCCGTTCCTTCCTTGGAAAAAGTTGTTTAAAAAGAGCTTGAACTAACGAAAGAGGCATATGTAAGTAAATGCTGTGTAACTCCCTGCTGGCTCTCAGAAGAGCAGCAAGGGGTGGAACCCCTCCCTGATCAGAGCATCCTGTCTGGCCTGGCCATGCCTCCCCTCAGCTCAGCACAGTTCAAGGGAAGGGAGGGCTGCTTTAGTGCCCCCCAGCTTCTAACCTGAGCCACTGCAGGCATGTGCCTGCATTTCTGGAATGAAAACCTGCAAAGACTAACCTGCAAAAAATGAATCTATTCAGGCTCAGGGTTTTTGAATGTCTGTCCCTAGCCCTAATGTCCCTACCTACTCTCTGGCTGGCTTTCTGCTTTTGCTGTATTTAAACATATTCTTGTTCTTAACTTTAGAATCTTTTGCAAAATGCCCCTCAAATTTTTTTTGGCCTGTCTTATTTTACTTACACTGACTTTTGACTTGCCAGAATTTGTGTGATTTCTTGTTTTCCTCATTTGGGAACACCTTTCATTTTTTGCCTCTGATACCTTGCTACTAAACCATGCTTTTTTTGGACTCTGAAGTCTCCTCCTTTATTTCTGGTGTAAGCTTTTCCTGAGCCTCTAAGCTGGTATTTTTAAACAGCTTCCAGGCTGCCTGTAAGCCTTGTCTGTTCTTCTTAACTTTTTTCTAACTTACTCATTTTTTGTGGAGTTTCCCTTCTTGAAGTTAAATATTGGGATGGTTCATTTTTAACTTCAAACTCCTACCTAGTAGTTTATACCATCTCTCTTACACTTCCCTATGGTGTTTGCACTCGCATGGACCATGAACACCAGCTCTTCTCCAGCACTCCAAAGCTGCCTGTGTGCATATCTCATGAAGCTGACAACCTTTGCACCTGGCAGGCTAGTCAGCATGTGGCCCCCTTGGATGCCACAAACCTAGCTACCTACATGTCTAATGATTGAATCCCCCACTACCCCTACCTGCTTTTTCCTATCTTTTAGGATCCCTTCCCTTGAAGGAATATCTTCGCTGTAAGAAGATACTATGACATCAGCTGGAGTGTATGCGCCATCTGAAGAATTGTTTCCCTCCATCCCAGCTAGATGCCCTCCTTCCCTGAGATTCTTATCTTCATCAGCACAGGGGCTGCTACAATGGAGGTGGGACTGCTGTACAATGTCCCTGAAAGCTTCATCTATGCACCTCTCTGTCTCCCTTAGTTGCTTCAGTTCAATCGCCCTAGCGTTGAGACAATATATCTGTTCTCTTTAGGCCATGAGCTATTGGCACTGGGTGTACACACTCAATGCCATAATTTTAAATAGCTCCCACACTGCTGTTGGACTTCTACTTGAATTTTTTTCTCTTGCATTTTTTCTCTTTGGTCCTTAGGAAAGTTTTGTTCTAGTTTTCTCCTTTAGATTAGGGAATTTCAGTGTATAGATTGACTTTCTGTTTACCTTATTCTGACATATAGGAGCTAACTATACACTAAGAATTTGAATTTAAAATCTAAGGTCTAAAGTTCAAATTTTAAGTGGATAATTACTTTAGAGTAACCAATTTAGATATCAAGCTGTTTTTTTACCAGAAATTTTACTTTGAAAGCTCTCCTGTTTGCTGAACACCCCTCAGTGAGATTCATTTTTATATTTCAACTCTGATTGGTACTACACACTCCTTTCTACACAATACCTTGCAGACTGGCTTTCTCTGGTCACTAAGGGCCTTGTGTTCAGCCCTTTTTAAACCAGTCAGTCCCACCACCTTGTTAAAAGCAAAGTTCTTTCCCAGACATGCACTCTCCAAACCGAAACAATCCTTTCCCACATACACTGTTATCACCACCAAGGAAAGTCAAACAAGAGACAGTCAGGCAACAGACAAGCAAACTTACTCATCTTCCAGAAAATGAAACAAGAATCATCTTCTTTCTTCAGGTCATGCTGTCTTGGTAACTGTCTTGTTTGCTGTCCCCTTCTCATGTGACTGCTGAAAACTTGGTGTTTTTTAAAATTCCTTTAAGTACATATCTGCACATTTAGGCACATAAAGAGCAGGGCACTGGATTAGATGACCTCTTTAGTTCCCTTCCCTCACTATTTTTCTATGATTCTTTCATATCTGCTGTAAATCTTGCCCTTGGTAATTTGTTTAATTTATAATCAGTGGGCCTTTTCCTTTTGAGTTATTGCAATCCTCTTGAAAATGTTGCCCAGAAAGCTGAAACATT